ATTGAGAGCCCAACTAACTACCGAAAGTTTCAGGAGGCAGTTATGGAAAATAGTTTCCTTGATGGACCACTGACTCAAAATCTCCCAAGAGTCGAGGGAAGCCCGCAATGCACCAATGTCATGTAGTTATCTTCAGTTCATCCACAGGGGTGTGTCTTTCAGTTCCAAGCACTGCCGTATGGTCTTGCTTTGGCTCCTTATGTGTTCTGTCGTGTTGTCCATTCTTTTGCATGTCATCTTCAATTGTTGGGTCTTTGGCCCCAACATTGCATGATGACTGGCTGCTGCTCACCTCTTCCCAGGCCCAGTCTGTCGCTCACACCCTCTTCCTTCTTCGAGAGTCTGCTCGGGGGTGGAGTTTTTCATCAAGTTGGAGAAGTCTTTTCTAACCTCCACACAATACGTTATTCATTTGAGTGTTCTCTTCAATTTCCATATCAGTTGGCCCAGCCTTCTCCACTTAGGCTCTGGAATATGGAGTGGGCTGATGCTCAAGCATTACCTTCTCCTTCTCTTACTACATAGAGAGGATGTGTTTCTCCTTGGAAGCTCATTCCCTTTGGTTGAGTGCACATGCATTCTATTCAGTGGACACTTCTTGACCAGTGGAGCTTCTCCCATGATCCCTTAGACCATCCCATCAGCTTTCCATTTGGGATCAGGGCCAGCCTTGCTTGGTGGCTTGACAGGGCCTTGACCACGGTAGGGGTTCCCATTCCTCAACCTCATCCCAAGTCTCATCTGTTAACCGATGCTTATCTGTCTGGGAACTCTTCGTGACACATCTGTGGGTTTTATGGGTTCTGTCAGAGGGTCTTTGCCTTTAGTTCTGGTCCCACTAACTTATATCCTGGTTTCCTTTCCTCCTTGGACTTGTGCCTCGTCCAGTCATCTAGCAGAGTTGGTTCGAGACCTTCTTTACAGGAGCTATCAACTGGGTGGTGCCAATTTTTCCAGAATGTTACTCCTGTCTATTTGTTGTCCCCCAAAAGATGGGAGATTGGAGACTCATCACTGATATGTTCTGGCTGAATACCTTTCTGTAAACACCCTGATTCACCATGGGGTCCTACCTCTCCCTTCAGTGAGTTTTTTCCCCAGGTCTTTTGATGACCAACTTGCACATGACAGATGTTTATATTTATGTTCCCATTGCTCTGGAGCTCTGAGGGATCTTTGTCAAGCCCCTTTTCTTTGCAAAACAGTCTTTAGAGTTCAGGGTCAATGTAGCATGGCAACATTACTCCATTGTCCTCCCTGACTTCTCTTTTGTCTCATCCTACTGTTGCTGCCCAATCTTCACTTGTTAGTGTTCCCCATGCCCCTTCTTCATCTCCCTGTCCCTTACCCTACTCCAGGCATTCCCTTCACGTTCTTCCCGTTCCTTCAGGGATCAGCTTCCTTGGTGGCGGGATGTCTTTTCAAGGACAGATGCAGCCAGGTTATAATGGTTTTCCTATCCTTTTAAGTGTTGTTACAATTGTTATCTAATGCCTTCTGCCAGTCTCCTGATCAATTCCCAACAGAACTCTGGACCCTCCTGTGGTTAACATGGCACCTTTTATCGGCTTTGGCACTGTCTCTCAGATCTGGATCTTATGTTATTGGGATTTGCTGGGGCATGATACATTACTTTTTGGGGGTGCATCTCCCCCTTTTTTTCAAAGTAAGGCAAATCCTAGAAAACTGGGCCCAATTAAAATCAGTCAAAGCATCAGGATTCAAGCTCCACAAGGGAAGGAGAGAATCCAAACACTGGGAATCCAAATAGGGATTTGAAGTACATTGGTAAATTAAGGGGGACAGGACATACCCACACCTGACTGCAATTGATCAGCAAAATGTTGAACATGAACAAGAATGTCGGGTGAGAGAGGAAAAAATAATAATCAGGGCAAGTTGAAACTAGTAAGGAATCACACATGAATGAGCTGAATTCACATAAAGAACAAAATAAACACACATCTAAACACTGTAGTGCAAATCAAGAAAGTGAGGATTGTGCTGCAATGGTAGAGGAAGCTACCTGCACTAGTACTAGTTGGTGCAGTATGATTGGTGGAGGGTAGTCACATTACCAGCACATGTTGCTCCAATGATGCAAAAATGAAAAGGTATAAAAGACTGGTGCACTGTTAAGAATTTTAGCAATTCTTAGAGGGCAAATCAAGATCGAGATAGCTTTGGGTAAAAGAAGGTAGTACTGTTTCTGCTGAAGTATCAACAAATTTGTCAACATCATCACAGGCCCCATTTTATTGAAGCTATTATGGAAGTTAAAGAAATGACACATCCTTACTCTATGGACATATTTATAACAAATATAAAGATGATTTTTTCTCTACAAAAGTCTATTATTTATTTGTGGCAGGAATACATAGTTAGCCTCAGTTTCTTTGTCTGTGATCATTGTTGTTAACTTCAGAGTTGCTAATAGAATTTTTTAACTGATTTATAGCTGAGCTTGAAAACCATTTATATTATATTGGATTTTAAGACATTCTATTCTAGTGCTGATATTTAATTATGTGTTCTCAAATGAAATTTTAAAAGCTACATGATAAATCAACATATTGAAAATAAAAGTAGGGCTTTAATAATAAGGCATGCCATTGTAACCTTACCAATTCTTTACCCTAAGCACCCTGCTGTGATCCAATACATTGCATTCAGAAAGAGGGTCCAAAGTATAGTAATAAAACTATGTGGTTTGGTTTGAATTTTGTGCAAAGCTACATGAGGGCTATCTGCATTAGCCATACCTAATTTAGCAATGAAAGACTAGAGGGAAGGAACAGGTAGACCCATCAAAAATACTATATTGTACTCCCATAACCTGTAGGTCTGTCAAAAATACTATATTGTATTCCCATAACCTGTAGACCTGTCGAAAATACTATATTGTATTCCCATAACCTGTAGACTTGTTTAAAATACTATAATGTACTCTCATAACCTGTAGACCTGTCAAAAATGCTTTTTGTACTCACATAACCTGTAGACTTGTCAAAAATGTTTTTTGTACACACATAACCTGTAGACCTGTCAAAAATGTTTTTTGTACTTACATAACCTGTAGACTTGTCAAAAATACTATAATGTACTCTCATAACCTGTAGACCTGTCAAAAATATTTTTTGTACTCACATAACCTGTAGACCTGTAAAATATTATATAGCACTCACATAACCTGTAGACTTGTCAAAAATAATATATTGTACTCAGATAACCTGTAGACCTGTCAAAATGCATTTCTACATTTCTTTCAGTATTTCTTTATGCGGTATTTACTCTCCTTAGTGCTGTTTGCTCATTTGTTATTTTTAATTGTTTAATATTGTTCCACCAGCTTCCAATCTAGTGTTTACAGACTCCCCATATAACTACAGGGTATAAATGTAGTAGCTATATACATTTTACAAGCACAGACATAACGTGGGATGTTGATCGCCATGCATCATAGTGACCATGAACTTGGATGTATTTAATGACTGAAAAAACTGAACATACAATGACTTATTTTTCACCTTACAATTTTCTTATTTCATTTGCATAGCATCCAGAACCTTCTTGATGAATATCAAGTTATTTTGGGGTTAGTCTTTGTATTTTATCTCCTATTTTCTGTACAGTAACTGCAACAGAATCATCAGTGTACAATGAAATGAAAAGTAGAAAAATACAAAGTAAAATTAATGATACCTTTTCAGTTTCTAAAATTATGGCAGATTGTAACAGACAGTTGGAATAGTTTACTGTTACAGCCTCAGCTTCTAACCTTTTCACTTCTGCTTTCATTTAATTTTATAGTTTTATTGGCCTAGCATGGCCAGAGTTGAGTGCTCGACTCGCAATCTGAGGGTCGCGGATTCAATTCCCCATCCCAACAAACATGCTCACCCTTTCAGCTGTAGGGGCATTATAAAGTGACAGCAAATCCCACTATTCATTGATAAAATAGTAGCTCGAGAGTTGGTGGTGAGTGGTGATGACTAGCTGATTCGAGTAGAAAAAATATTTTTGACCAATCTACATGTTATTTGAGTACAATATAGTATTTTTGACAGGTCTACAGGTTATGTGAGTATAATACAGTACTTTTGACAGATGTATAGGTTATGGGAGTACAATATACTCTTTTTGATAGGTCTACATATTATTTGAGTACAGTATTGTATTTTTCACACGTCTACAGGTTATACAAGTACTATATAGTATTTTTGACAGGTGTACAGGTTATGTGAGTACAATATAATATTTTTGATGGGTCTACATGTTATTTGAGTACAATATAGTATTTTTGACAGGTCTACAGGTTATGGGAGTACAATATAGTATCTTTGACAGGTCTACAGGATATGCAAGTACTATATAGTATTTTTGATGGGTATACAGGTTATGGGAGTACAAAATAGTATTTTTTGACAGGTCTACATGTTATGGGAGTACAATATTGTATTTTTGACGAGTCTATATGTTATTTGAGTACAATATAGTATCTTTGACAGGTCTACAGGATATGCAAGTACTATATAGTATTTTTGATGTGTATACTGGTTGTGGGAGTACAAAATAGTATTTTTTGACAGGTCTACATGTTATGGGAGTACAATATTGTATTTGTGACAAGTCTACATGTTATTTGGGTACAAAAAAATATTTTTGACGAGTCTACAGATTATGGGAGTACAATATAGTATCTTTGACAAGTCCACAGGTTATGTGAGTATAAAAAAATATTTTTGACGGGTCTACAGATTATGGGAGTACAATATAGTATTTTTGACAGGATTACAGGTTATGCGAGTAAAATATAATATCTTTGACAGGTCTTCAGGTTATGCAAGTACAATATAGTATTTTTGACAGGATTACAGGTTATGAAAGTAAAATATAATATCTTTGACAGGTCTTCAGGTTATGCGAGTACAATATAGTATTTTGACAGGATTACAGGTTATGTGAGTAAAATATAATATCTTTGACAGGTCTTCAGGTTATACGAGTACAATATAGTATTTATTCATACTTCAGGTGGCTGTTTATCACAAAATCTTTTAATAATTTGTCCTATTAACATATCAACAGACATTAATACATATCTTGTCTTATATGGTTTTACTTCAGTTTTTGTTCCAACATCTTTTCCACAACCTGCACAACTGTTCTCTGCATTTCGTATTATTTTATATATTTTTAAACATCAATTTGTCCCAGCATTTTACACAAGCTGCACAACTGTAAGGTTTCTGACCAATGTGTATTTTCTGATACATTTTTAAATCACTTTAATATTCTATTACACATAGACCACAAATGTATAGTTTATAGTTACAGTTACTTCAAAATTATTTTTTACAAATCATAAAACTTTAAGGTTTCTTCCCAGTGTGTATTCTTTGATGTTGTTTCAAGTTAGAGGTGCTTCCAAATTGTTTTCCACACACTTCACAACTATATGGTTTCTCCCCAGTATGTATTCTTTTATGATTTTTAAAGTTAGAGTTACATCCAAACTGTTTTCCACAAACATCACAATGGTAAGGTTTCTCTCCAGTGTGTGTTCTTTGATGCAGTTTTAATTCAGCATTTGTTCTAAAGTATTTTTCACAAATTCCACAACAGTGAGGTTTCTCCCCAGTATGTATCCTTTGATGATATTTTAAGGAACGGTTTGTTGTAAATTGATTTCCACACACTTCACAACTATATGGTTTCTCCCCAGTATGTATTCTTTTATGATTTTTTAAGTTAGAGTTACATCCAAACTGTTTTCCACAAACATCACAATGGTAAGGTTTCTCTCCAGTGTGTGTTCTTTGATGCAGTTTTAATTCAGCATTTTTTTTAAAGTATTTTCCACAAATTGCACAACAGTGAGGTTTCTCCCCAGTGTGTATTCTTTGATGTTGTTTCAAGTTAGAGGTGCTTCCAAATTGTTTTCCACGCACTTCACAACTATATGGTTTCTCCCCAGTATGTATTCTTTTATGATTTTTTAAGTTAGAGTTACATCCAAACTGTTTCCCACAAACATCACAATGATAAGGCTTCTCTCCAGTGTGTGTTCTTTGATGCAGTTTTAATTCAGAATTTTTTTTAAAGTATTTTCCACAAATTGCACAACAGTAAGGTTTCTCTCCAGTATGTCGTCTTTGATGTATTTTTAGTTCATCATTTGTTAAAAAGTCTTTTCCACAAACTACGCAGCTGTAAGGTTTCTCTCCAGTATGTCGTCTTTGATGTATTTTTAGTTCATCATTTGTTAAA